GTCTCTTTTTGTGTGATACAAATACACCATTTGTTGTGGCTATAAGATTGGGATTGCATTGGTTCTGTTTAGTTCCACAAGCATTTACTGGGCACCTGCTGTATGAAGCAAGAGGAACAAAGAAGGGAAAGGGTTAAGAAGGCCAGAGCGGGGTAGTAAGTAGGTCTGTGGGAGAGCAGACTCAGGTATTTGAAAGTTAGATTGTAGAAGGACCGCATAAGCACGCAAGTGGCATGAGATGAAAACAGGTTGATAAAGTGTTGGGTGGCAGTGTGAGTGCCGATTTACAGACTGGCTTCTTTTAAGGAGGTCCTGTGGAACAAGTAAAACACAGCAGGCTTACTGCTCATTCACAGGAGGTTATTGTAAGTGTTGGCTTTTTGTGGCATATGATGTCTGCAGTAAACCAAGCACTCGAGAGTTTTAATGATCAGACATTTTTAGATTTGGACTTTTTATAGTTGCCCTGACAATAAAAGCTTGGGATTTAAACCTTTATGAACAATTTCAAGGTTTACTTTGTTGCAGAAATTGAAATTGGGTTGGATTTCCTAAAGGGCCGTCCGTCTCACCGCTTAATGGCATGTTCCATGTTTGTAGATGGTGTAGAGACGCACTTTTATTTCAGTATTTAAGCATTAAGCATGTATTCTAATATGTATTCAGAACCTAAGTAGTACATGAAACTAGTGATTTCTCTTTTGCTCAGGACAAGCCTCAAGTAGGTATTTCTGTTTTTAAAAAACTGCGTTGATTTAAAGAAAATGGTAAGTAATAGTGCAGGTGGGACGTCGACATACCCCAAATTTGTCAAGGCGGTGCCACGTTTGAGCAACTCTGAGCCGACACTGAGACTCGAAAACTTTGGCCCCTAGTGTGGGTGTTTAGGTGTCACGGCCGTGGTCACATGCTGGAAAGTGCAGACCAGATTTGCAGACTTTCCTTTGAAAGTTCATCCTTTAAAGGCCTCCTGAAGTTCTCGAGCGTGTGTCTTTGCAGAAGCGAGAACTAGATTTTGGGCAGAGCCTCCTGTTTTCTGTAGAATGTTGGATTTCTGTGCTCATCAGTGTTATGGTCCCAAGTTTATTTGTAACACCTAAATCAACTCTCAAGTTCTGTTTCAGACACACTGATGCTTAAAATAGGATAAAATGTGTGTGGTGTGTTTTTGTGTGTATGCCTTAGCCTTTTTTATTTTTCAGAACACAAAAACATAGCAAAACCTGTTGGTTAAATATTAAGAAAACAAATATTTCCTCACATATTGTTTTTAACAAGTGCTGGCATCTTCGCGAATGTTACTCCGTTGGCAGAGCTGCAGAAATTAAAAACCAGTAGCCAGAGTAGCCAGTTGGATTCATTGGCTGCATCTCCTAATTCTGCTGCTCTTCTCCTTCCTACCTACGCTAGGCTTCGTAGGCTCCCTTTGTTTTAAACCAGTGATCAAATGGCCTTGTCATTCGGAGTTATGCTTTTTGTTTTCCTTGCCATTTTCAGTTTTGTACTTACTGTTTTTATCTTGCATCATTTCTGTTTCCTTTCCAGTCTGTGTTTCAGAGGACTTGGCCAGTCTCTGTTCCTTCATAACCCAGCGTCCACGTTCTGACAGGTGTTCTGGCACCACACGATCCTGCCTTCTCTGCCGTTTTCCTTGGTCGTTAGCGAGCTGAGATGGTCTGGTCTCTTGAGGATCGACACCTGTGCCAGGCTCTTGTCCTTCACACCGTGGGGCAGTATGTGCTCTAGATGTTCTAGAAAGCAACTGATACATCTTTGGTAACCAACTGAGCCCTGAAGTAAAACAGCTTCTAGGTAGTCTTCAGGGGTGATCTCATAAGACAAAATGCTAATAGACCAGAGCTATAAAATTCCAGCTATTTTTTCAAATTACTAAATTAAATGTGCATATAAAGGCCCAAGTTACATAGCAGTAAATTAGTGGTGGAAATACAAATAAATTATATGTATTTATGTGTATGTGTTTATATGTGGTTGAGCAATCTGTGCTTGATTATCCCTTAAAATGCTGTTTTGTTGGCTATATTCTTGTGATTACCAAAGTTTATTCATAATACCTGGTCACTGTAGGAAATTTGCAACACACAGAAAAGTATGAAAAGACAAACTAGCCATATTACTCCCACTCACAGGAAACCACTGTGAATGTTTTGACACATTTTCTCCCAGGCTTTTCTATTCATTTTTATCTTAAAATAATTATACTTTATATAAAACTTTGTGTATTGCTTTTTAAAGCTAGAATTAAATACTTTCCATGTTAGTATAGATACTTTATGGATATAATTTTTATATTTCTATAATATTTTTTCTTGTGGCTTTATGACACTTTCCTGACTATCTCCCTAATGGTCATTTGGACATTTAAGTTGTCTTCGGTATTAAGATATTACAAGTAATTTTTAAATTTTTTTTTTTTTTTTTTTAAAGTTCATTCAGGTAATCTCTACACCCAGCATAGGGCTCGAACTCATGACCCCATGATCAAGAGTTGTATGCTCTGCCCACTGAGCCAGCCAGGAGCTCCTATAAGTAATATTCTTGATTAAACTAGGCAGGAATCTTTGTCCACATGTGTGAATATTTCCTTAGATTTTCAGAAGGCAACCACTGGGTCAAAGACTATGAAAATGGAAGATTACTGATGCATATTAACAAGTTGCTTTGCAAAAATCCACCAGCCAGCTCTTTGCCCAGAAATCAGAGTGCACAGCTTAGATTTGTCATCCTTGAGTATTACTGATTTTTATCATTTGATAAGGTAATTTTTTTTTATTGTTAGTGAACCTAAGCAATTTTTTATTTATAAACAAATCGCTCTGTTTTCTCCCTTGTGTATTTGTTTGTGCTGTTTGTGTAGTGATGATCTTAATCCTTGGTTATGTTTGTTGCTGACTTTTTCCCATTTGTTTTTTGTTGATGGTAATGTTTTTTATTTTTGTGAAATTTAATATTTATGGTTTTAATCTTTTGATCTTTTTCATTGTAATTTCTACCACTGTTTTAAAATATTCCCCATCCTGAAATCAGAAACATTTACCATAACTTTTTCTAGGCTTTTTGTCTTAATGCTCCTAAATTTTTCATCCATATGGAATTAATTTTGGCACATGTATTCCAAGAGGTGAGGATCACAATTTATTTTTTTTCCAGGTAGCTAACCGGTAGCTCCAGTACTGTTATTAAATAAATCTTCTTCCCCGGCCCCTTATACCCTGGTGTATGATGCCTGCCTTATTCTATATTAAGTTATTTTACCAGGGTCCGTTTCTGTACTGTCTGTTCAATTTTATTGATCTGTCTTTCCTTATGCCAGCACCACCCTGATTTAATTAATGCCATTTTACTTATTAATTCTTACTGTTTCCCAGGTCGCATAACAGAAATCAAAATGAAAGAAAAAATTCACTTACGAGCTTACTGCACTACAGAAATTAGACTCTCGTTCTTTGGCTATGGTATCTTTTAAGTCCTGCTATCATGCCTTTGTTACTTCTCACAATTACAACAGTTGAATAGATGAGGTTTTGTGAGTTTTGGTTTCTTTTAAAGTTCCACAGGTATTCTATGCCCCTCATTCATTAAGCTTTGCGTAATGAGGATAAGGCACACTGAAGACTCAGTACTGGAGAAGGGGCTCTGGGTACACATGCTGCGGCCTCGCGCATTGGATCAGGGATCTTTGCAGTGTACCTCTGACCGGGTGGTTTAGGCAACTCCTTGTTCCTTGGGTGTGATCTTGCAAATAAAATGCTTACCATTTCCACTGTACTAAGCGTGTTATTCATAGAGTGGTGAGTTTTCTCTTATTATGACAGAAGTGTGCAATTTATGAGTAGCGTTCCTGAATTTTTGTAATTTTGGCTCCAGTTAACCTATAATCTTTCTGCATTGAGCAAATTTTGGTTTTATTTAAGTGAGCCACCATAAATGATCTTTGAAGAATTCTTTCCTCTTTTTGATGTAAAGTGCAGCGCTCGTTAGAAGTCTGAATTGTCAGAAGGGTGACTGGAGATGATCTGTAAGGTAACTTTTGTGCCTGGTGCTCGGCGGTGGGAAGAAGTTCTAAAGGCCAGTCCAGAGTTTGCAGGGAGAGGAGAGGGGACAGTGGTCTGAATCTGTTTCTGCTTTTCTGTAGGTTGTCTTTCTGCTGCCAGTACCTTTTAGAAGTGAGTGAGGAGTGATCGTAGTCATACACATGAGAGCTTTGTAACACTCAGGCTAGTTTGTTTAAAAACTGAGAAATTGCTCATTCGGTATTCTTTCTGAACTTGAGACAAGAATCTTAGTACAGAAGTTCACGCTGATCCTTCGTGGTATACTTCTGAGGTGGGAGCAATGCCCCGACGTGCTCTCGCAAACTTTCTTCATGAGTCCAGTTTGTGACAGTACTAAGTGTCCGAGTGGAGCCACTGAAGGGTCTGCTAACTGAACGCTGGAAAGTTCCAGGGCAATAGATCACAGGGAAGGTTACAGTTGGGTAGTACATACTGATTCTATCAATTCTGTTCCATTGCCCAGTGAAAAGAGAGGAAGAGTTCTTGTACTTCCCTAGATAGAGAGATGTGCCCAAGACCCTAAGAAGAGCTCATCGCCCCCCAAAGTGGGGTAAGGAAGCTGTGTTCTTCTGTCTTCTTTTATTTCGTTAACTATACAGAACATTTTGGGGCTAAGGCATGAGTCCATTGAGCTGGAGAAGTATTGTGCACATCCCAGTGGGTTTAACACTAGTTGCAAAGCTGTGTGATCTGGTCCCCCCGGCCCCTGCCCCTTCAGGCTTCTGGTTCAGAGATGCTTGGCAGAGATTGAAGAGCTTATGACAAAGATCCATGATTTGTCCTACCACTTGTAATTTAAAGAAGAATCATTTAGACATTTCTTAAGATACATACATAGTTGTGGTGGGCTTTTTTTTTTTTTCTTTTTCCCTTTTTTTTAAAAGTTCCTAACCAGGTTTTTGAAAGAAGTTGTCTGTATTCCAGGTGCTACAGCCCCCAGACAAGTCTTTTTGCTCTGCCGTGCGAAGTGTTCAGAAAGCAGAGGTGGCAGAAATTACATGAAAATGGTTCCAAGGCCCTGTCTGTTCGCGTAGAGGTCAGAGAAAGCACAGCCTGCAGAAGCACGATTCGAGGTCAAGAATCCCAGACCCCTGCTGTTCCCAGTGAACTGTGTGATGCACATAGAAAATGTTTGGAAGCAAGGGTCGAGCTAAGTGAACAGTCATGATAATACCTGGTTGGTCTTTTAGCAGCAAAATTGGGGGGAAATAGGAAACTTTTTAAAAAATGGTGGCTTATTTTTTAATTTTTTTGGTGTTATTGTTGATACCCCTATTTGGATGTAAAGTCCCTAACAAAAGAAGCAAGCTGCCTTTAGACTGCATTTACTGCTCTTGATGACTCCAGTTGTGTGTAAATATTAGAAAACAGCAGGGTCCTACATTCCAAGAATCACTTGAGCAGTGCCACGAAGACAAGTGTCCTTACTGGTATTGTAGTCATACTCCCAAGCTCTCCCGCTGTTTCTAATCTGTGCGCGCAGCCGTGAAAAAACTGGACTGACATTTACAGGCACAGCAGGGAGACACTTGACTAGGGAATGTTAAAGACTCCAGTACCTCCGATTCAAAGTGGCCACCACACATGATAAATCTTCACAGGAGAGCTAGTCTGCACTTCAGCTGATGCCGTAATGAGGGTATCTGTAATGAAGCAAAGAAGTAGAACGTTTTTTTTTTTTTTTTCCTTAAGCTCAACTTTTTAGCAGTCATGTTTATTGTTGTCTTTTTCAGACCTAGCCATCTACAGGGAGACTCTCCTTCTGGGTAGACGAAGGATCTTTTCCTTTCGAACTGTGCTTTTTGGAGGGCCTCTTCCTTCCATCCTCCGTCCTCAGTCCCTGCCGGGGCTATACAGGAACTTTCCTCAGTGAAACGGCACTTACCCATCAAGTGTGAATAAAAAAAATTTTCCCGGAATCTGCTCTAACTGGGATGTAAAGGAGGGTCAGTTGCTTTCTGACTCAGGTTTGACAGACTTTACTCCCGGTTTTGTCCCAGGGAGCTGCCAGATTTGTAGCCATGATGCCAGTAACGCAGCTAGGTTTGCTGCACATTGTCTGGTTGACGTCTCAGTTAAGGCTTTCTTTCCCTATGGGAATAAGACGAGACAGACTGTCGTTTGCTATTACTAATTCTGCTTAGCATTATCACTGGAGCTTTTTTTTTGTAATTAGCTATCTTAGTTGGCTCTTAAATTTTAATAGCCAATTGAAGCTACATTTTAGCCAAGTTCCATATCTAAATTGCATTCAGTCCATTAACAAAGTTGGTTAAAAGGCTATTAAAGCAAAAGCCAATATATGGTGGTTCACATTTCCGTCTTTGCAGCCGCAGCAATGCCAGCCTCCCGCGCCTTTTCTGAAGGAATTCTCCTCGAGCAGAGTCGCGCACAAGCTGGACTGAACTTGCAAGCGGCAAGAAATTAATGTCGACAACATTCGTGTCACGGTCACACATTCAAAAATGGCACCGCTCATACCCGGTTCCTTGTTGTGAGGGTTCGTTTGGGGTTGGGCTTTATTTGCTTGGTGGCTGGCAACAGAGGGGAAAAGGGGGGCATTTTGTATTGCAACTTAAAATTGACAGTTTTTGAAAGTGAATAATTGAAATGGTGTTTTTCTCCATTTCAGCTGATCAAAATTATTAGCAAAACCATCTGAGGCACCTTCTGGTAGAATTGTAGTCTTGCTGGGTTTAGTGTGTAAAACATTCTGCCAGACATTAAAAAAAAAAATTGTAGCCGAGCCAGCACATAGGCTCCGAGCACCCATTGCCTAATTGATAGTCCCCATTGTCATTATTTTTAAATTCAGAGGACCATTTCTAACACTAACACCCCCGCCCTTTGCAGATTAGTTTATGGTGATTTTAGTTTCTACGTGGTCTTCCTCCTACCAGATCGGAATGGTGGGTCTCTGTTCCGTGTTCAAAGATACTTGGTTTCAAAGATGTGTGTAATTTGTGAGGCAGGCTGTCAGAGGAATTAGACTGGTATGGGACGTGTTCAGTTGACATTTCGTCTCTGAATCCTTGGAACCCCGGGAACGAAGATCTGGGGAGAAACCAACAGGCAAATGAGTCTGTCACCTTGACCGAGCCAAGTGCGCCTGAAGCGCTTCTCCATCCCCACCCTGCCCGTTCGGCCAGTGTCCTGGTTTGAAATGAACAGGTAGTTTTTCTGCTTCAAAAACATGGATTAAGAAAAAAACCCCAACAACTCCAAACAGCGGCCGTTGAGAAGGTATTGGGAGTTGTAGTTTTAGCTTTAGATTTTTTAAAGCAGTGAGTGGGTTTGAGAACTTTTCCATTTCGCAGTGTCTGGCCATTCTCCTTGGCTCTCTGCGGCCCTCAGGACTGCTGTCCGGCTTCAGCTTGGCTGGTGCCGCCGTCCTCACCGGAGGCTGCCCGGCAGGCAGATTCTAGCAAAGGCCAGCCGCTCCTCATACTTGGGTTTCCGGGTGAGAAGCCCCAGCAGCCCGCCTCATGGAGCTGCTTTTGTCCTGAACTGCTTCGCCGGCCTTTGGCAGAGTGGCCGGGGAGCCCTCAGTGGAAGTGTGGCCTCAGTGACAAAGGTGAAGAGCTTCACTTGTCTGAGCAAAGGACAAGCCAGAAATGCTGGAGGGCCTCTCTGGTGATTTTTGTTCTCTGCCAGAAGCTGATGGAAGAGGGCAAGAGAGGCCATTTTATCTGGCGTTAGATTATGTGTTAAAGTGAAAATTAACACACCGTTCAAAAGGTGTATGTGACTAATTAGCCTTTAATAAAGATGGAACTGGTTCTGAAGATTAGATCACAAACTCTAAAAGGTCAGGGCCCGAGGGCCTCTCCCTTGGAAGACTGAGGGCAGGACCAGCCCTGCTGCTGACCTTTCAGGAACTCCTCTTGCTATTTATGGGTGAATTTTGAGGGCTTTAAGTGAATGTCTGGAATGTATGTTAGACCTCACCTGCCCATACATCATTTGAAACTAATCATTAGGAAATTCTCATTTTTTGAATAGGTAGTACATGTATGTGGCACATGATACAGAAATCAGTAGGGAGACAGCAAATAGTGAGAAGTCTTCAATTGAAGATCATGGCGCTCCAAGGGGTCTGGATGGAGAATAATCCTGTTTTATTTGTTGCATTAAAAACTGTGAAAGAATCTGGCAGAAAAATTGAGACCTTTTCCTTCCCCCTAGGACCAGCTGCCCTCTGTTACAGGCTTGAATAGTTTTCCAAAGCCACAGTCCATATATCTGTGTGTGTGTGAGAGAGAGAGAGGGACAGACAGACTGACCGAGACGGAGGGAGAGAGGGTTGGGGTAGATGAAAAGTTCTTATATTTTCTATATTGTGGTTTATTGGATAAAGCCTTTGAGTCAGAGTATGGGACCAAATGCCAGATTTTAATGTAACTCCTCGTGATGTTAGGGGACATAATTGTCTCATCATTTGGTCTCAGTTTTACATCATTATCTTTGAAGATCTCTTAATGACCTGTCAACAGAGGTGACTGGCTTGGCCTGTTCACACTGGAGACAAGTGGCTCTGGCTCTGGAGCCCAGCGCAAACCGTGGGCAGAGATTTGCAGAGCCACCACGTTTGTCTGCACAAGTCTTCCTGGTCCCCTTCTCCCCTACCTGGGGCTTCCTCTGCACATCCCGTGTGTGGGATCTCCTGTTTCCTGGTCCAGCGTGTTCCTCTTTCTGGGTTTACTCCTCTTAGCTGGTGGAGCACTTCCTCCATTAGTCGCTTGAGGAAAAAGATGTGTGGGCGGTAATTGTTTTGAAATCTTCAGGTCTAAAAATGTCTTTGTTCTCCCCTTCCTCTTGACTGATAGTTTGACTCACATAGAATTACAGATTGGAAATCATTTTCCTTTGGTGTGTTGAAGGCATCACTCTGATGATTTCTGGGTTCCAGGATTGCTGTTGAGCACCTGTCTGTCTTGTCCTTCTGGAAGTTCTGTTATGCAGATGTTGGGAATCCTGGGCTGATCTCAGCCCTTGTTTCTTCTCCACCTGCCCTCCCTCCCCCTCACCTGCTTTCTGTCGCTTTTGTCTTTTTTCCTCTACTCCCTGGGAGATTTCTTCAATTATTTCTTCTGTTCTTCTAGTTCTTAAATTTTTTCCAGGCACTCCTTAGTCATCCTACTTTCTTTAAAATATCTGATCTTAGTTTATAGACGCAGGATCTTCTGACCTTGAGGACACTGATTATAAGATCTGGAAGCTTTCTTGTCCTTACCTAGTCTCTTGTTCTCCCAAATTGCATTCCCACTCCCCTTGTTTGTTTGTTTTGGTCTTTGTCTTTCGTTTGAGATGGTTTTCTCAAATGTCTGGTTTTCTTGGTTGTCTGTTCATATAGAGCCACTGAAAAGGTTATTGGGAGTCCGAGTCTGTGTGATGGGGAGGGGTTTGGAGCTGTCATTTATTTTTGGCTTCCCTGTAGTGTGGGTTGTTTTTAGAAGAACCCTGTTTCTTAACATGGTACCTTCAGAAAGCCACCCCAAGAGAAAGACTTATGTGCAGGTGGTTTATTGTGAATGTGGTCCCTGGGAGAGGTGAGGGATAGGCAGGAAGGGAGCCCAGGTACAGGGATACATCATCAGGTTGGCTGTGAACACAGAGTGACTGGCACTTAGACTTTGTAGGACCTTCTAAATAATGCAGTGAAATGCTTCTCACAGCCTTTCTTTGGGTGCTAACTTCCTCACAATTCTGAGTTGCACAGGTGGAATGCCCGCTGTTCCCTGCACATTCCAGAGAAGGAAACAAGAGGAGCTATCAGGTTATCCCCGGGAGCCATCGGAAGCCTGTGCAGAGTCCATTTCTGGAGCTTGGGCTGGAATGAGAGGCTTTGAAGCAACACAAGAGGGACCCCATGCCCTGCCATCTGATTATCTTATTCTTTGCCCTTGGACTGGTCAAGGTTCTTTGCCCTTGGACTGGTCAAGGTTCTCTGGAGAAGATTCTTCCTGTCCCTTGCTCAGAGGATTGAAGTGTTAAGAGAGCCAAACTGTCTTACCTGAGGCTGCTGTGACAAAAATCTAATAGACCTCAGTGGCTTATAAACACCACAAATGTACTTGTCATAGTTCTGGAGGCTGGAGGTCCAAGATCGGCGGGCCAGGATGGTCAGGTTCTGGTGCGGGTTCTGGGTTGTAGGCTGCTGACTTGTATCCTCCCGCGTAGTCGTGAGCAGGGAGGGGAAATAAGCAATCTGTCTCACAAC